GTTCTTTTTCTAAAGGAGAAGGGGAGATATTAAGAGGAAACTACTAGTCTTTTGCTGTATAGGGAACAGATGGGAGAGAAGCACCACTGAGGTAGGGAGCCTTGAGAGGGGACTATGGACTGGACAGCTGGGAGACAGACCACGGTGGCTTGAATGCAGGGTGAGAGAGATGTGGAGAAGTGGGCATGGGAGGGAAGCGGGGAAATCAGGCAGAACTTCTGGCCTGGCTTTGAGCAGTTGGGCCAGTGAGGAAGTCAAGAGAGCAGCAGGAAGGGGGTAAAGGTGGGCAGTACCACCAGCTTAGGACCCCATCTCCACTCCAACACCCTGAGGATGCGAGGCTGGGCGTGGGCCCCAGACCCCTAGCCTGTCCACTAGAGAATCCCAGGAAGTCATATAATCTAGTGTTCCCCAAACTGTGGAATACACCTCCTTAGAGTGAGATTCATAAAATTCCAGGTCATGTCTGGAAGAAAAGAGATAGGAAGACAAAGTGGGTTGGGGGGTCTGTCTGTTTATCAGACAAAATTTTGCCAGCCCTGCCCACCCCTCGGGTCCTGATTTGCTGACTCCCGTGCTGCACAGGTCTGGCAGAAACCACGAAGGTGGGTCCCAGAAGAAGAAGTTCAGAAAACTCTGGCCAGCTCCACACCTGTATTTCTCAAATGGGAAACACAGTGACATTCCCTGAGGTCAACCAGGCAGGATTAGCTGCAGGGCCCTGGCTCACAGGCCTCACACTTATTTTAGCCCCTGGTAGAAATGCCACCTCTGCCTGCCCGCCCACCTCCCTGAGTCTTCGCTGCCTGCCTGAGGCACCCAAAGCACAGGCCCCAGGCACAGCTTTCTGGTCACTGCCAGCTGGGCTGCTGCAAGCCCAGCCCTGGCCCCAGAGGCCAGACTCCATTGACGGGCAGCCTCCCTGTCAAGGGAGGGTGTTTGGACATTGCCCCTGGTGAGCTGCATCTGGGCTAGCAGGTGGGCTTGACCTTCCAGCCTCCACCAGCTGTAGCCTCCTTCCCAGGGCAGGCAGTGGGGTTGATGACACTTTGCCATCACCCTCGTGCAGTGGACAGGCTCTGACATGTAAACAGCTATTTAGCCAGACAGCTCCATGATAGAAGTGTCTCTAGTAAAGGCCAAAGGCCCCCATACCTTTTGTACAGAACCTTTAGTTGGCCACACACTTTCCAGATGCTGACCTCATTTCTTTTGTGTCTCTCCCACCCCAAAGCTCACCTGCAGATTTTCACTACCTCCCACTTATTCCTGAGCCTTGTGCCTGGGCTCGGTGGGTTGTCTCTCCTCTGGCATAATTGGAGGGTTGCGGGTTGAAAGGGTTCGCAGCAGAGTAACATCTAGTAATAGTAATTGCACCCATGAGTAAGATGCTCCAATTCTGGACAGCCCACAAAGTCAGAGAGATGGTAGGCCTGGTCCATCCCACTCCCAGCCCCCAGCAGGGGCTGGGTCTCACAGTGGGCTCCAGCACTTGTGTGGGCTGAAACCAGGGGGAAGGCAGCCGGAGGAGGGGCCCAGGGAGTGCTGGCACACTCCACTGCCCAGCCCACGTGGACTCTGGGGCCCACTAGGGCCCTGTGCCCTCGCTGGCTCCACGTACTTGACTCCCACAAGTCAGGTCTGGGACCTGATGTTAGTCAGGGGTGGTGTGTGTGAGTGGCAGAAACCAACCTCTGAGAGAGTGAGAGGATCCAGCCTCAGGGACGCAACACCTGGACACCTCCTGCTTCATCCTGGTAGCTTTATTCCATGGGCTAGGGACACTGGTCTCAGTGATACCAGTGACTTTGGGGACACAGCCTCTTAAACTGGCCTCACTTGAAAACTCCCAGTGAAAGACCACAGGTGTCTGCGAGACTGTGGGCTTCTGGGCCCCAGGGTGCAGCACACTCCTCCCCCTGTTGCTGGGACCCCTGCATGCTGAACAGATGGAGCACACACTCAGGCACAGCACTGGGAGGGGGGTCACGCAGGAGAGGGGTTCTTGGGACCTCCTAGGATATTGGCAAGGGCAGCAGGGTGTCCTGGGGACCAGTCATCCTTATTCAGGAGAGCAGGCTGGGCAAACTCCTGGCAGCCAGAGAAGCATGTGAAGAATGAGCAGACAGGGGACGTGTGGTGCCTGGGCTTCGACAGCCCTTGTTATCCTGGTTTGGGTTCTTCTAGAAGCTGACCTAAGATGAGGACGTGTGGAAATAGGGTGTTTCTTTGAGTGGTCACTGCAGGGAGCCCTAGAGCAATGGGGAGGGAACACAGGGCAGGAGGGAGCCCAAGAGAGATGAGTTCATGGTATGCTGCCACTTTGGATGGCTGGGGCTCTGTCCCCGGGGGATACTCTGAGAGGCTGTTTGGAAGTTGTCCCAGAATTGTCCCCCAGGAGGACAGGAACACCCAGGGATTTGCCTACCAACTCCTATCTGTCCTGGGTGCTGACTCCTAAGCTGTGCAACCTGCTACACACCCAGGAGCAGAGAAGCAGAGGCAGGAAGCCAGTTGGCTCAGGGGAGCCCTCTGAAGGCAATCTTGAGGGCATGAGGACTGTGAATGGGCTGGAGACAACATGGGCTTCACACTCACCTGCTCTAGGTGAGATGTTAAAAGCAGCAGTCATGTCAGATGGAGCGCAGACCTTTCTGGGTGATGCCATGTCACCACTGATCTGGACCCTCAGCAGGGTTCCTTTGCTATCAGTGACCGCTCTTAGCACACCTGGGTCTGGCCACAGATGATGGCCTTGGAGTCAGAAGTTTCCTAATCTTAAGTCCCAGTCCTGCCACTGACCATCTGTGACTTTAGGTGAGCACCTTCCTTTCCATGGCCCTAGGGTTCCCCACCTATAAAATGGGGATGATAATACTTACAGCAAGTATTAGCTGTTGCCACAGCAGACCTCCCCCCCTCCCCACTGAGCTGCAGGTTAGAGACCCAGGCTGGGTCTCCGCTCTGTACCGTGCATCTAAGCCTCTCGCTGGGATGAACGAGAGAGCCTGGGTATATGCATGGCAGTAGTGGGGCCCCTGAGGATAGGTAGAAACACATGTGGCCTCTTAAGGAGCCAGCACACTGTGGGCCATGATGTCCTGTGGCCACACTCAGTGCCAAGGAGACAGGAAATACATTCTGCCTCTGTAGAGTTGTGGGAGTTGGGGGGTGGATTCCAACCAAGCACACTCAAGTCTGACAGGGAGTGTATGGAACGTTGGCCTTCTGGCTCCGTGGTTTTTGTATCCCATGAATGCTGTATCTTCTGTCCGCCCTTGGTTGTGCATACGGAGCTCACATGTACGAAAGGGTGCTGTATTTACCGAAAAAAACTGTGTGGACCTGTGCGGTTTAAAGATGTGTTCTTCAAAGGCCAACTGTACTTTTTTGGTCAAAATTAATTTTTTTTTTTTTGAGACAGAGTCTTACTCTGTTCCTAGAGTGCCAAGGCATCAGCCAAGGTCACAGTAACCTCAAACTTCTCCTGCCTCAGTCTCCCAAGTAGCTAGGGCTACAGGCATGTGCCACAAAGCTCGCCTAATTTTTCTGCGTTTAGTAGAGATGGGGTCTTACTCTTGCTTAGGCTGGTCTGGAACTCCTGAGCTCAAGCAATCCTTCTGCCTCGGCCTCTCAGAGTGCTAGGATAACAGGCATGAGCCACTGTACCCAGCCTATCAAAATTAATTGTATTTTGGGCAGCACCTATAGCTCAAAGGAGTAGGGCAATGACCCCATGTACCAGAGGTGGTGGGTTCAAACCTAGCCCCAACCAAAAAAAAAAATATTGTATTTTAAAACTGTATCCTATGTTAATTTCACATCTCTTTTTTAATTATAAAGGTGAGTAGAGGGCAAATGGTTGGGTATGAGCAGGGGTGAGGCATCAGACACGGCCCCCACCCCCCCAGCTCCTCCGTGAGGCACGTGTGGAACTCGGAGGAGGCAGCGGGCACGTCCAAGTCCTCTGTAAACCGTGAAGTGCAAGGTGGTGGTGCAGTCATTCTCCAAGAGCCTCCTGAGTTAAGACCACCATGCACCTGGTTTTCGTGTTATAAATTTTTGATTGTAGTCTTTGAAAACAGGTGACCCCTGTTTGGTATCCACTGTAAGTACAAGGGGGAAGAAACGTGTTAATTACGCAGAACCTTCTCTGTCATTCCGACTGAGTCTCAGCCTACACGTGTATGCCTTGAGCAAATTCAGCTACACCCACTCAGATGAGGGGGGAAGGAGGCAGAGAAGGAGAGAACCCAGATGTCATTATTGCCCCTTCACCCTTCCCTTATTTCACCTGATCTGGGCTTCGCCTGCACCCAGAGAAAGGTAGGCCACAGGTCAGAAACATAAATACAAGTCAACGAAACCAAGTTTTATCATTGGACAATCCAAGAATGTTGCTTCTTGAGATTTCATGTTGGCGTGAGGAATTCTCACGATCTGCACTAGCAACCAGCCCCGTGGCCCACCCTATGGTGCAGCTCCACTGTGCCTCAGCTAACCTCAACTCCACCGAAATGGCTGCTCTCTCATAGAGTCTGGTTCTAATCACTGTCTCCACCTTAGGGAGGAAGCATAGGAAATTACAACTCTAGCCAAGAACACTGAGTTTTAAAATTCTCCCCCCCCCAAAAAAAATACTGTACAAAACCCCACTTTAAAAGCAGGTGAATGCAGAGCCTCAAGTTGGAGGGCGGAGAACAGCCCAGTCTGCTCTCATCCTGCCCCAGGATACTCCATGCTCTGTGGGCCGTGCCTTGTGACTCCAATGTGATAGAATGCTCTGAAGGCCCTAGGAAGCCCAGCGTGCATGTGTCCCGAGGCAGAGGTGTGCTCAGAGTGGCCCCTTCTCCTGAGCAGGCTGTGGGCGGAGCTGCCATGCTACTGCCCTAGCAGGGCCCTTACTTACCACAGTCGCAACATGGGGTTGAGCCCTTGGCATGCCAGGGGTCTTCAGTCCCACCGAGGTTTCACAGCCCACCACCCATGTCTCCTCACAGGCCGACGCCAAGATGGTGTGTGATGTGGTGAGCCGGATGGAAGACACCGAGCCCTTCTCTGCAGAGCTGCTGTCTGCCATGATGCGGCTCTGGGGTGACTCAGGAATTCAAGAGTGCTTCAACCGGTCTCGGGAGTATCAGCTCAATGATTCTGCCAAATAGTGAGTGTCCCAGGGGAGGGAGGCCTGGGGCAGGGCAGACTTGGT